GGTTAAGGCCCTAGACTCCCACATGGTTGACCACAGGTCCAGTTTCAGACCTGGTGGCTTGAAACTCACGCTGAGTGCGTGCGCATACTTGCCCGAAATCCCAAGGGGAGAATGGAGGAGAAGTGGCCATGCCCCCTGGGGGATGATTTATCACTTTCTGTCTCTCTGGCAAGCACATGCACCCTATAGCAAAATCTCTAAAAAAAAAAAATAATAAAGGAAAGTTTCACAAAAATACAGTTTGTCTGAAGACCTTTCTTTTCTTTACCTGCATTTGTTTCTGTTTTTAAGACAGGGTCTTACCATGTTGTGATCCTCCTGCCATAGCCTCTCAGCTAGGACTACTGGCATGGCTCTTCGTGCACAGCTCTAATTCCTGAAGAGTTGGTATATACCTGTCCATTATAACGCCTCAGTTTTTGGTCAGTTGAATGTCATTTAAATATAGCAGGGGCATGTTCTGTGAATCAAAAGTACAAATTTACAGGATTTTCTGCCAATAGTGAATATGAATTATTTTAAGCAATTGATCAAGTTTACACCTCTACTTAAGTCTAAGTCATCTCCCAAAAGCAAATGCTAAGAAAATGCACGTTAAGTAACTGAAGGTCATAAAAATGTCACAAACTTCATTGCTTTTACATACTCTTTATAAAATACAAGAGGTCAGGCCCATAATGTCTCATCTTTTTCTTTTCATCTGAAAGAGTTTTTCTTCCTAAAGCAAGAAAATGGGAATAGATGAAAACGGAGTGGGAAGAAGGAACTGTCTTGAGAAGCAGATTCATCTAAACTAATTTTGAGCTTACCTCAGGTAGTCTCAACCACTAAAGACTTTCACCATCACCAGTTCTACCCAGGTCTTTTGAAAACTGCAGATTTCACAAAGACAAATTATTTTCCTTTCTTTCTCTTTCTTTTCCTTCCTTCCTTCCCTCTTCTTTTCTTCTTTCATTTTTTATCCCCTTTTTCCTTCTCTCTACCTTGCTAACATGTGGGGATTTCAAAAAGTTCATGGAGAATGGAATTAAAGTATTAGTTCATTCTTATGCAAAAAAATTGAGAATTCATCCATAGTTTTTTCATAATACACATTTTTCCAAGAAGTTTTTGAAGCCCCCTCATATTCCTTTTCCTTGAGTTTCTTCAGTTGATTTACCATAGAGCCTGTTTAGGGCACAGATTTGTGAACTGGATCTCATTGATTTGGGTTAATAGCTTTCTCTGGTATTTCCTGTATCCTCTATTTAATTTGCTGAGAAGTAAAATAAATTGAAATAGTAATGCAGCACTCCCTAGACCTCATCTTGGGGATTTAACATATCTCTTCACAGAACTGCTTAGTACATAGAGAACACATCATAGTTGACACAGAAAATCTCTCAGATTGGAAATGATCAAGTAATAGGATTACTCTTCAGATCAAGCACGTACAACCTGCTGGAAAAATTAATATGTTTATCATAGGTAACCATTATTTATGTGTTTGTAGATGGAGCATTGTCTTCCACCATGATTCATGCAGTGTTATCTAGTTCTTCATTTATCTCTTCTAGAGATTACAACTATGCTTTTAACATTTGGTTTAAAGCATAGTTTCATAAATGTTTACTTTTAAAATTGTGCAGTGTTTAAGGAGTTTTTTCTGGATTGTGTTGCTGACCTTTTTCTAGCTGAGTAATCTTTTTTTTTTTCTAACTCGCTCTTATCAGTAAATTTGTTCACAAAAGTAGAAATATTGCCCATCTGTGATAAACAATCCTGAGAGCAGTAGCCAGCACTAGAGCTGTGCACTTTTATGGAGGTTATTCTATTTTCAGGGTTGCTGACCTTTTGCCTCTTTATTGGTTGCCATAGTGATGATCCAAGCTCTGCTTAGTAGAGCTTTACTAAAATGAAGACAATCAATATGCTTTTTAATGTTAATGTCTATATTGATAGCTCCTAATAACACATATCGAAATAATATTTAGCTATATAAATGTATCTAAAAGTGGATCTTTATTTTTAAAAGCATGCTTAGATAGATGTTTGTGTGAGGTGTAAGGGATTAAATGTGTTCTGCGACTTTGTTAAAAAAATCTAGAATGCCTTTATGAAGACTAAAACATGTAGGTACAGCTTGAAAGACCATTGTGAAAGGGACAATAAAGTTATTTTATAATAACAAACTTTAAAAGTCCCAAGTTCCATAGTTACTGATTTCTAAAGCAAAGTCAAGGCAGAGATCCCTTTTAGCCCTGTGGCAACAATACTCAAGCTTCAATCCTCCTCCTGTGTACCTGTATAACTTCAAAGGAGTTTAGAGGAATCCTGAAACACTAGGGGAGAAAAGTTGGTGACTGGTTGAAATTCACTAGGCTAAGCAGTAAATCATGGATTGTGTTTCCAAAGTCCATGTAATGGTTTTAAATCTTTCACTTACTGATAGTAGAAAGACTACTCTTTTTAGGATTATAGTGAAACTAATATGAACACTTTTTTTTTTTTTTTAAGGTTTTTGCCATAGGGTGTGTGCACTTCCTGGAGAAGAGAGACATAGAAAGAGACAATGAGAAGAAAAGTGAGAAATCACCTCCGTGGGGATATAGCCACACCGCAATGCCTTCTCCTCTATTTTCCTCTCAGAATTTTGAGCATGCACACGCACGTGCCCAGCATGATTTTCAAACTGTTAGGTCTGGGACTTAAACCATAGTTGACCATGTGGGAGTCCAGCCCCTTAACTATGACACCACCTGCTAGCCCTGAGCACATTTTTGAAGAATCTGATTCTTTCTCCATTAGAATTAAATACTATTATTTTCAAATAATATTTACATTTAAGTCAAATGAAAGAACATTTAATGTAATAAACTCTCTAACATTGTCAATGCAAACAGCAAAGTCTGAAGAATGGCGTTGTTCACAAGGTTCATCTTCGCAGTCTTGTTTGTACTCTAAGGAGCGAGTAATATGATTAAGCTTCCCAGACCTGGTTCCTAGCCCTCTCACTGGCCTATCTAGAGGTTCACAATGAGAAGCAAGCAGCCCACAGCTGGACCTGGGCTTTTCTCTCCAGAGCCTGCATTATTCTAGTTCTCATTGATGTTTGAGAACCTGTTTCCTTAATTCTGTTTCCATTTTCTGTAGAATACATTCCAAAGTTTATTAAAAACAAAACTCAACATCCTCAATGGCAGGTTATGGGGTAAAATTAAACTGGTGCTGAGGCTGTCTTTAGTGAACAAAAAGGAAATGAACACTGCCAGTTCCAAGTGTCAAGATAACTTTTCTGAAAAACACAGGAACTATCTGTCATAGATTTACACATATCACATTTTTTCTGAATTAAAAAAAGAATTCTTAAATGCACGATGAAGTTTAAGTGAAAACGTTGGCTATATGCATTTTAAAATTAGAGTCGCAAATTTAATTATATCCTTATGCTATTTGGTTTCAGTGATCACATTTATTTTTCTAAAATGAAGAGTCTCATTCCTTACTTATCAGAAATAAAACTAGAAGAACTTTGATAGTTTCTTCCATTTAAGAACTATCTGCTGATCACCACCGTGAGTCCTACACCATTGTAAATATCGGGGATAGGGTTGGGACCAAAGCAGGCAGACTTCTTCCTCTTATGAAGCATATTTTCCTTTGAAGGAATCAGATAATACATAAATGAGTACATGATGTGTCAGGGGCGATTAGAGTCAGGAATTCAAGTGCAGCAGCACCAGCGTCTGGAGATGAATGGGGAATGGGAAGGAAGTACTATTTTAGATAGAGTTGTCAGTCAAGACCATCTCCTACCTGAGTCACTGGGTGTCCAGCTGGTCTCTGCTTTTGCTTTCATTCCTACTATTCATACAGGATCCCTTCAGGTTCAAAGGTGGATCATATTACTCACTTGCTCAAGACCTTGCAACAACTTCTACTTAGAATAAAATTCACTATTATTCTCATAGCCTCTAAGTCCCCATATGGTGACCAGCAGTTGCCGTAATGGCTGTGTCGCTGGACTCCCACATAGTTGACTGCGTTTTGAGCCCCAGACCTGGTGGCTTAAACTCACACCGGGCATGTGTGTGTGCATGCCCAAGATCCCAAGAGGAGAATGGCAGAGAAGAGATGACGGCATGGCCATCCCCCCATGGGTGATTTGTCACTTTCTGTCTGTCTCTTTCTGGTGAGCGCACGCGCCCTATAGTAAAAACCTCTCCAAGAAAAAAATAAATAAAGACCCCACATGGAAAGTCCCCTTTTTACCTCTCTAACCCCATTTCCTTTCATCTTTCCCTCATTTACTTCACTGCAAGTGCTTGTTCTGAGCATGCCGAGGCCCCCACTGAGGCCCCCTTATACAGGCTTTCTGCTGATGGAAATACACTTCCCTGCAATCGCTTCAGCTGCTCCCTGTTTCATTTGGTTTCCTTGGCACCTCCCCAGAGTGGCTTTCCATGGCCATAATTTCAAACTAGTGTCCTGCCATCACTCCTTTCTCATCTGTTTCATTTTTCTTCATAGCACTTATCCCCTTTGGGCTCTGTGTTGCAACTCTACCTGCTCAGTGGATTTATGAGAACAATAATGCCTCAGGAGCAGGAATTTGGGCCCTTTACTCAGTGACATTATTTCTAGCGTCTGGAATAGTATCAACACAGCATAAGAGTCGCTAATCATTTGTGGCATGAACGAAAGAGTGAGTGTGCTCTGAAGAAGGATTGCTGAATAATGGGGAGAAAAATAGTAGACAGAAAGTGTCAAATGTTTTGGAGATTTTAAAAAAGATCCTATAGGCTAGTGCTAATTCTGTCTCTCACTACCGCCTGATGTAATCGTTCCTAGTTGCCACCTAATCTCAATTCCCTCTCCCCAGCTTCACTTGGACCTCAGAGAGTCTGTGAACGTAAGTGCATACTATATAGTCTATATGTGGAATTTTGGTGGTTGCTTTTCTAATTTCTAAAATATTTAAAATGTATTGATTTATGGTCATTTTTTTTTTTAAACTGCAGCATCACCAAATGCCCCCAAACTTGGACCCATGGAGCTGACCATTGTTATTACTGTGCCTGTCTGCCTCCTGTGCATGGCTGCCATGCTGACAGTATGGGCGTGTCAAGGCCGACAGTGCACCTACAGAAAGCCACAGAGACAGAACGTGGAGGAGCCCCTCTCTGAGTGCAATCTGGCAAACGCTGGAAAAACCCTAAAAGATCTGATTTATGATGTGACTGCCTCCGGGTCTGGCTCTGGTATGTGCTCACTGTCCATTTTTCTGTAATAAAACTCTTATTTAAATATAAATAAAGATTTTTTTAACAAAAAAAAGTGAATCCAAATATGCATTCCATTGTTTAAAAGGCTTGATGAGCTTGTAAGCTTCACATGGTAAGCTCTTGTGTAGAAACTCCTTTTAGGATTTGATGAAGAAAAGAATTGTTGTGGCCTTAAGAAGTCAGTCTTCTCAGCTGAAGTCTGTAACTGCAGGTGTTCAGATTCTTGTTTTCACATTTCTTCACAATTCATTTCTGAAGCAAGAAAGCAGTTTCTCTTCTATCCTCTCTACCTCCCTCAGTATGGTTAGTAGTAATCACTGTTGTTTTCTTGATGTTTTATGGACAAAAAAGAGTCAAGTTTATTGTATCCAAGGCATAGAGTCCTGGACGAAAGATGTTAGTTATACAAACAGTGATCTTAGAGCTCTTAATGTTTGTGATTATGGATCTATAGATCTTAGAATCTGTAACACCTTCTGGTGTGTGTGTGTGTGTGTGTGTGTGTGTGTTTAGTAACAGGGTGCTGACCTGAAATTAAATCAAGAATATATTCCTTTTTTTTAGAGAGACAAATTTTTGCTGTGGGGCACTTGCACTCACTAGAGAGACAGAAAGCAAGAATTACCCCCTATGGAGGATGGCCATGCTGCAATCCCTTCTTCTCCGTTCTCCCCTTGGGATTTTGGGCATGCATGCACATACACCTAGAGTGAGTTTTAAGCCGCCTGGTCCAGGACTCGAACTGTAGTCAGCTATGTGGGAGTCCAGTGATGTAACCATTCTGCCATCTGCTGGACCCAGAATATACTGGGAGTATAAAGGGAGTGGCACAGCATTCATTTCTGTACTGGCTATTGCTGCTTCAGGATATGCTAACTCTCTTCCTCTTTAAGAGAACTCTAGAATCCCTGGTAATGATGATGCTATTCAAAGTATTTCTCATAGCATAAAGCATTTAAAGGTTTCATTTATTTATTTTTGTTGTTCTTTTTCTTTGACAGGGAGAGTGATGGGTGACAGAGTGTATTTTTCCCCAAATAGCAAATGCTTTAAAATAGTAGGGGATTTCCTGCTTTTACGTATTTCCAGAAACATTGCTAGTACTTGATTTTGCACAAATATGAACCAGAGTAAGCCTAGATGACATGGGAGTCCCCATATCTCTTCTTGTTTTAAAAGGAACATTAAGATTATAACCAGCATTTCCATTAACTCCATTGTCAATGGCCTTTAGGAGCATCCAGTCAGGCACAATGAAGGGCCAGGTGACAGGAGGACAATAGTATCTATAAGAAGATCCGCATTTAACATGAAGCAACTTGGGATTCATCAGAAAGGAGAAGCATAACTAGGTCATGTAGAGTGCCCAGATCATCTTACTGCTTTGGGTCAAGATCGCCTGCTCTCTCACTGACCCAAATGTAAATATTACACCATCATGGCACAGAGTAAGTGGCATATTTTCAAAGAATGAAGTCTAGAAAGACATTGTCTAAAGAGTTTATAAAACTGGAAGTTAAGAGCCAGCAGATGGCATAGCAGTTAGGATGCTGGACTCCCACAGGGTCGACTGCAATTGTGTCCTGGACCTGCTGGCTTGAAAATCACTGCCTGGCATGTGTGCATGCGTGCCCAAAATCCCAGGAGGAGAATGGAGAAGGGTTTGCAGAGTGGCCATCCCTCCTGTAACAGGGTGCTGACCTGAAATTAAATCAAGAATATATTCCTTTTTTTTAGAGAGACAAATTTTTGCTGTGGGGCACTTGCACTCACTAGAGAGACAGAAAGCAAGAATTACCCCCTATGGAGGATGGCCATGCTGCAATCCCTTCTTCTCCGTTCTCCCCTTGGGATTTTGGGCATGCATGCACATACACCTAGAGTGAGTTTTAAGCCGCCTGGTCCAGGACTCGAACTGTAGTCAGCTATGTGGGAGTCCAGTGATGTAACCATTCTGCCATCTGCTGGACCCAGAATATACTGGGAGTATAAAGGGAGTGGCACAGCATTCATTTCTGTACTGGCTATTGCTGCTTCAGGATATGCTAACTCTCTTCCTCTTTAAGAGAACTCTAGAATCCCTGGTAATGATGATGCTATTCAAAGTATTTCTCATAGCATAAAGCATTTAAAGGTTTCATTTATTTATTTTTGTTGTTCTTTTTCTTTGACAGGGAGAGTGATGGGTGACAGAGTGTATTTTTCCCCAAATAGCAAATGCTTTAAAATAGTAGGGGATTTCCTGCTTTTACGTATTTCCAGAAACATTGCTAGTACTTGATTTTGCACAAATATGAACCAGAGTAAGCCTAGATGACATGGGAGTCCCCATATCTCTTCTTGTTTTAAAAGGAACATTAAGATTATAACCAGCATTTCCATTAACTCCATTGTCAATGGCCTTTAGGAGCATCCAGTCAGGCACAATGAAGGGCCAGGTGACAGGAGGACAATAGTATCTATAAGAAGATCCGCATTTAACATGAAGCAACTTGGGATTCATCAGAAAGGAGAAGCATAACTAGGTCATGTAGAGTGCCCAGATCATCTTACTGCTTTGGGTCAAGATCGCCTGCTCTCTCACTGACCCAAATGTAAATATTACACCATCATGGCACAGAGTAAGTGGCATATTTTCAAAGAATGAAGTCTAGAAAGACATTGTCTAAAGAGTTTATAAAACTGGAAGTTAAGAGCCAGCAGATGGCATAGCAGTTAGGATGCTGGACTCCCACAGGGTCGACTGCAATTGTGTCCTGGACCTGCTGGCTTGAAAATCACTGCCTGGCATGTGTGCATGCGTGCCCAAAATCCCAGGAGGAGAATGGAGAAGGGTTTGCAGAGTGGCCATCCCTCCTGGGGAGTGGTTTCTCACTTTTCCTCTCACTGTACCCCTCACCCCCACAACCCCCCCTCTTGCCACGCATGAGCTTTAAGGCAAAAACCTCTAAAAAACAAAAACCCAAATAACAAAAAAACCTGGAAGTTTATAAAACGAGACTCCAAATTAAATTATTATAGAAGGTTAGCATTCTTTCTTTAAAAATAAATCCTGTTAGTATTCAGTACTTTTTCCTTCTTTGAGTCTTACATTTTGAGCCCAACTCTGCCATAATTTTTTGAGCACTGGCAACATTTAGGCACAGAGAGCTTTGGTTTGTGCCAAGTTTCTTGAAACCTGATATAATATCTTTAGAATGTTCAAGTGATTAAATAACCATCAACTTAATTGCCATGAAGACATTTTAGTTCATCTGAAGATGTTTGCTAGAAATGTGTATTTTAGAGCTACTCTTTAAATATATTTGTAAGAACCAAGGGTTTCTCTTTCAAATAAGAAAATGCAGACTTTAGAACTGGACCTTTGAGCTAGCCAGTGGCATGGTTTGAGTCCCAGACCTGGTGGCTTAAAAAACACACTGGGCATGTGTGTATGTGTGCCTAAAATCTTGAAGGAAGAAATGGAAGAGAAGGGATTGTGGTATGGCCATACCCTGTAGTGGGTGCTTTCTCTCTCTTTCTTTAGTTGTGCACATGGCCTCTAAGAAATTAAAAATAAATACCTAAGTAAATATAAAAAACTGGACATAGGATATTTAGATTAAGAAAATACCTATGAAGTAGCACATGAAATTAAAAAAATTAACATGAAGTTTTCTGGTGTTTTGGTGCATCTTTAAACCTAAATCTGAATTTATTGACTTCTGGACTCTCTTTTTTAGACTATACTCAGATCTCTTATAAAAAGAAAGTAATAAACATTCTCAACCATAGGTAATTTCTTTAAAAACCAATGTGGAAGAGTTTTAGGATTTTTTCCCCCAAAGCCAGTTAGATATGTTTGGCAGTGACTGCTGGTTCACCATAACTGATGGCATCACTGCCCTTGATAATTGCCCAGTGACCTTAAATGTGAGCCAGCTTTGTCAGTGGTTGAGAAACAAATATTGTGAAGCTTATCCTTGACCTGGTCAGGGACAAATTCCAAAGAGATATAATGCCTACAAGAGAGGAAAATGGACTGATATTTTATTGGACTATCTTGAGAGTGGATTGTGCCTTAGATGGCTTTTAAGAGACTGGGTAGGTTGTTGCTTTCTTGTGATATAACAATTCTGACAGATGATGATTATGAAAAGGTACCTTTCTGTGAGACAGACATCAGCATATTACAGCCCCTAAAAAAAAGTTAAAACAAATATACAGGCAATGGAAAAATCTATGTATTTTCAAATGAAAAATCAAAGTGTATAACACAAGAAATACCCAGATTCATTGTGGTGATTGCATTGAAAGTAAGTGAGGAAACGTTCATTGAATTTTAGTGTCTCAGTGTAATTGCTGTATTGAATACCTTATACCTTGTCTTTCTTTGTCCCTGGTCGGTGCTACTGATCATGTCCTTGATCAATTTACAGTTTGAAAATGTTGGCTTATGTCGTTCTCTGTCCATTTGTTGTGTGGTGGTGGTAGAACTGATTGTTATTGGTGATGTCTGTGTGAGTGTGAGCATATATGTGCAAGACTGTGGGGGAGGAGAGGATGAGACAGACTGAGGTTGAGATTTGGCCTAATCATTGTTAGTGTAAATTTACTATGTTGCTAAATCATAAAAACTGATCATAGTCTACATAGACGGTCCTTATAGTTTTGCTTTCCTCATTGAGCAGACTGCAGTCATAGCCATTGGATGGTGAAGGCATAGGAATTTGGACTGAAGACCCGTGTTTTAGTTCTAGGTCTGTCTCTAGCAGCATAATTCTGGGTATATATATTTCTTATTACTGTAGGGTCTCAGTTTTCCCATCTCTAAAACGAGATTGGATTAGATGATTTCCAAAGAACTTTTCATCTCTGAGCCTTTGTGACTAATTGTTGAGATCCGTAACAGCCAGTTTAGAGCCTATGCTGATTTCACCATAGTGGGTGGTTCTCATGAAGACGAGAACCTCTGAATAAATAGAAGCTTGTTTTAGTACCAGGGGTCAAAGTACCCAGGAGCCACAGGGTTGTTGCAATGAGGATTTTCAGTTATCTGAGTACAACAATGATAATCGAGCTGACTCTCTAGAATACATTTATATTGTGAGCTCTTCAACTACAAGGAGACTTCAAAACATTCATAAGAAAATGGAATTAAAGTACAACTTTATTTTGTTGCAAAAAAATTGAAATGCATGCATAGATGTTTTCCTAATATTCATTCATGAACTTTTTGAAGACCTCTTATATTTTCCCTGTGATTAAAAAAGTGATAAATACCCATCACAGAAATTGAGAAAATGAAACAAATTAGAATATCACAGTCCACCCTGAATTTCACCAAATAAAAATAGCCATTATAGCGTTTAACATGTTTCCTTTTGAATCTTTATTTTCTGTGCATATTTTGAATAGCTAGGTGCAGTTATTAAAATGGGTAATATTTACTATGCTGCTGCATTTTTTCCATGTCACTAAAAACTACTTCTTTTTTTTTTGGAGAGATTTTCACTGTAGGGCGCGTGCGCTCGCCAGACAGACAGAGAGAGACATAGAGACAGAAAGCAAGAAATCACCCCCCAGGGGGGATGGTCACGCCACAATCCCTTCTCCTCCATTCTCCTCTCAGGATCTTGGGCACGCACGCACACGCGCCCGGCGTGAGTTTTAAGCCACCGGGTCCGGGACACGAACCGCGGTCGACTACGTGGGAATCCAGCGACATAGCCATTACGCTAACTGCTGGTTCCCACTAAAAACTACTTCTTCATGAAAGCAGCATTGATATTACTGGCTCTAAGTAGCTGATTTTAAGATAAATTTAATATTAAAGATTTACTATTATGTAATATGCCAGATACCGCTTAACATGATTATCAGTTCTCTTTTCCTTCTGACATACACAATATTACCTCCAGTTTGTTTTTGATTTTTACTATAGGGTGTGTGTGCTCGCCAGAGAGAGGCATAGAGAGAAAGGGAGATAGAAAGTAAGAAAGGACCCTCCCCAACCCCAGGAGGGATGGCTATGCCATAATTCTGTCTCTGCTAGTCTCCTCTTGGAATTTTGGGCACACACACACACATGCACCATGAGTAATTTTCAAGCTTCTGGGTCTGGGAATTGAACTGTGCAATTCCCCATGTGGGATCCAGCACCTTAACCTCCTTTCCACCTGCTGACCCTCCTACCTCCAGTATATGTATATATTTTGGCTATTTTGTTAGACAGAATTTTGTTATAGGGTGTGTATACTCAACAGAGGAGACTGAGAGACAGAGACAGAAAGCAAAAAATCACCTCCCAGAGGGGATGGCCATGCCGCAGTGCCTTCCCCTCCATTCTCCTGTAGGGATTTTGGGCACACATGCACATTTGCCCAGTGTGAGTTTTATGCCATCGGGTGCTGGATTGAACCACAGTCGACTACGTGGGAGTCCAGTGATGTAGCCATTACGCCATCTACTGGTCCCCCATCTCCATTTTTTTAGAGAAGGAAGCTGAATCCCAATGTGGTTAAATAATTTACCCATGGTTACCATGTGTCACAGTTGAAATCTGAACCAGGTCTTTCTTACCTATGCTTGTAATTTTTGCACTATATTTTATACTTCTTTTGTGCTTGACACATTTTCTTATTGTTTCTTACAACTAATGAAGTGTATTAAACATTTTTCTGCATTTTGCCCTAAATATTTTTTAATGAATTATTTATTTAATTATATTTATTTTCATTAGTTTTTTTTTTTTTTAACCATTACTAGAGAGAGACAGAAAGAGAGAATAACAATGAGAAAACAAGGGACTAGCAGTTAGCGTAATGGTTATGTTGCTGGATTCCTATGTAGTCGACCGTGGTTTGGGTCCTGGACCCGGTGACTTAAATTCATGCCGGGCGCGTGAGCATGTGTGTCCAAGATCCTGAGAAGAGAACAGAGGAGAAGAGATTGAGATTGAGGCGTGACCACCCCCCCTTGAGGGTGATTTCTCGCTGTCTCTCTGTCTCTCTCTGTCTTTCTGGCGAGCGCACGTGCCCTATAGCAAAAACCTCTCAAAAAAAAAAAAATAAATAAATAAAGAGAAAACAAGCCATCTGGTCTAGGACTTGAACTGCGGTTAGCTATGTGAGAGTCCAGCGTCTTAACCACCATGCCTCCTGCTGGCCCCTTACCCTAAATAGTTAAGATGGAATTCTAGAGGTTAAGTTGTTGGTTCAAAAACAAATAAATATTATATAGACACTTGGAATATGTTTTGTTTGATTATTTTTTTGTTCCACAGAAAGTATCCATTTAATATTTTTTATGACTATTTCTTGCTTTTAATATAACATCAATACCTCACTTGATCATTGAATTTGATTCTTTACTTTCCAACCTTATTTTGGTTTTGAAAAAAAATCACGAAGGATTCATTTGCTTTTCCACTTATACCAGGAATCAGAAATTTTTTTCCCCTCGTGTATTTAATAACCTGACTAGCTTTGATGGTCAAATTAGAGATTTTCAGCAATCCTTGGAAATCAGTTATCTATACAGACAGGCTGTGTTCAAAAAAGTTTTATTCGTGAATATGAGAAAAATACTTATTCACCATCTGGAGTATGCTTTGATATTAAATCAGAGTTTGATATAATAGCACTTATTTTTTCAAAGTCAATAGAATTAGCAAATGCATACATGTTTACTTTTTTATGTGAAAATAGTGGTCATCGTGACAGTTCTTTTCTGGCATTAGTTTTAATCATCACTTTTATCTGGTTATTTTATGTGGTTAGGTCTACCTCTGCTGGTTCAAAGAACAATTGCAAGGACGATTGTACTTCAGGAAATAGTTGGGAAAGGTAGATTTGGTGAAGTGTGGCATGGACGATGGTGTGGGGAAGATGTGGCTGTGAAAATATTCTCCTCCAGAGATGAAAGGTCTTGGTTTCGTGAGGCAGAAATTTATCAGACGGTTATGCTGCGACATGAAAACATCCTTGGCTTCATTGCTGCTGACAACAAAGGTATTCTTAATCTAACTGGATTTAGCCAATAAAAATGTTAAGTCTGTTTTCAGGTGAAAATAAATAAATTCATATCGTTGTTTTAATAACATCGACTGAAAAGTCTAGTTTCTTTATTGAGGAAGGACGAGTGTTTCCTCTTCCCCACAGACGACGGTACATAAGCATACAATGAGGCAAGATGAGGAAGTGGTGTTGAAGCAGAGTCACTGTAGACATGCTCATGTTTACAGTATCTGATCACTAACTGCCGGAGTGCAGGGACCAGCCAGTCAGAACTGAAGCCGCCCCTGGAGCAGAGCTGTGGAGAACCCTGTCACACTAGAGCTCATCTTTTAGTCACTACTTCACTACTGGGCTGTAGAAAGATCTGGAGGCATCCTCAAAGGCAGGATGTTTGTGTATCTGTAGCAAAGGAGTGTCTAGGAGTTTTAAATTGTAGCTGTCGGGCCAGAAGGTGACCTAGTGGTTAAGGTGTTGGACTTCCACATGGCAGACAGCAGTTTGAGTCCCAGACCCTGAGGCTTGAAACTCATGTGGGGTGTGTGTATGTGAGTGCCCAAAATCTCAAGAGAATGGAGGTGATTTCTCACTTTCTCCCTCTCTGTCTCTCTGGCAAGTGCAGGAATATATAGCAAGTATAATATAGCAAAAATCTCTTGAAAACATTGTGGCTGATGGTATCAGCAGATGGTGTAATGGCTATGTCACTCGATTCCCATGTAGTCAATGGTGGTTCGAGTCCCAGATCCAGTGACTTAAACTCATGCCAGGCCCGTGTGTGCGGGCATGTCCAAGATCCTGAGAAGAGAATGGAGAAGGGATTGTGGCATGGCCATCCCCCCGGGGGGTGATTTCTTACTTTCTGTCTCTCTGTCTCTCTCTGTCTTCCTGGTGAGCTCATGTGCCCTATAGCAAAAACCTCTCTCAAAAAAAAAAAAAAAAAAAAAGTGACTGTTTACCAACCAGGACAGAAATATTTCAATATTTTTATAACTGTATAGTCACACTAAATATTGCTGGCTGAATGTTCACCTTTGCCAGAGTTGTATTTGTTTTTTGTTTGTTTTAGGTATAGGGCATATGTGCCTGCCAGACAGGAAGAGAGAAGTGAGAAGTCACCCCTGTTGGGGATGGCCACATTGCAGTTCCTTCTACATTCTCCTCTCAGGATTTTGGGCATACACACACATGTGCCCAGTGTGATTTTTCAAGCCACCATCTCTGGGACTTGAACCGCACAGTCAGTCAGGTGGGGTCTAGTGCCTTAACCTACATGCCACCTCTTGGCCCAGGACTATATTTTTTAAGTTTATTTATTACATGAAAGAGATGGATATATAGAGAGAAGCACCCTCTACAGAGCCTCAACTGGACCGATCCCCACTCCTCTCAGGCGGTCAGGACCACCGGCACACTTCCCATTTACAGGTTGATTGGGCACAGTTTTCTAGCATTGTCTGAGTGGCGCATTACCACCGTACTACTGAGCTGGCCCTTGCACTGTGTTTTTAATTTGTTATAACAAGTTTGTCTTCATTTCAATAAATCTTCTCTCTTTAGATCATGTTACAGAATGGTGATAAGAAAGAAAATTTTAGTGGAATTTTCTATTAATGCTACTTCAAGCATGAATTATATCTTGAGGTTTAATATTAACAATGGCAAACAGTGTTACTTTTTTGAGTTGCATGGAACTAGATGGAGCAGCAGGTTTCTGGTCTTTAAAATCATAAAATATTATATATATATATATCTGTGCAGTAAGGCACTGGATATAAAGTTTGTATGTTAGCTATACTTGCTTTCATCTTTTTACAAAGTTTTTACTCATGTAAGTGTTTGTTAGTGTCTTTAATAAAGGTAAACAGGAAATAAAAGTGAGAAAATCTTAATACAGTCAATTTTTTAAAATCATTATGAATTTAATTTAATTTAATTATTGTTATTTTTAAATTTGATCAGAGAGACAGAGAAGGTGAGAAAGCAAACTGCCACATCCAGTACTCAAACTGTGTTTGGCCATGTGGGAGTCTAGCGCCTTAAATGCCACATGCCCTGTTGACTCAATACAGTCCATTTTTTAAGTTTAAAATGTTGTCAGCTGTAGCTCTAATCAGTAGTACTCATGAAGAACTTAGCAAGAGTCAAAGTTGTAAACCCTATCCAAAAAAAGGTTAAAACTATTGGGTCGTGGGGAAAGTCATGAAGCATTTTTGCATAGAAAAATACGTCATCACTTTCCAGATGACTTGATAATTACGCGTGATGGTCAGGGATTCACCATTCACCTGTGAATGTTATTTTGATCTGTTATAAACTTGATCATTAAAGTATTCATTACTAGTTATGTGGGGGATATGTGCATGCATGCCCCCAATTTGGAGAAGAGAATGGAGGAGAAGGGATTATGGCATGGCCATCTCTTGTAGGGGTGGTAATTTCTGACTTTTCCTCTCTGTCTCGCTCTGGTTAATGCACAAAATCTATGGGGAAAAAAAAATAAAAAAAGAAAAAAAAAAAACAAGAAAAAAAGAAAAGTATTCATTACCAATTAGATACAACAGAGAAGCATAGCTTTTATTGTACATTTTGACCATACATATATTTGCTGAAGTTTGTCATTTCTTATTTGCTGAGGGATAATTAAGTCAAGCCCAGATTAGCTTAAAAATTAAAAAAAAAAAAGGTTCTTGGGGCCAACTGGTGGTATGGTGGTAACTCAATGCCTCTGCAATACTGGGCCCACATTGGAAGATTTGAAGTTCAAGTCCTGAGGGCCTCCTGTACATACTGGGTGTACACATGTACCTATAATCTGGGCAGGTCAAAGCTGAGGGTGAGGATTCTATTGGAGGTAACTTTACCGCCCGGCCCCCCCCCCCTTTTCTTTTCTTCTCTCAAGGTAGAAATAAATGTGTTTTTTTAAATGATTCTTTTCAAATTCTTTTTTTTTTTTTTTTTTT